AATCCTGTCGTTATTGTAAGCTAGCAAGTTATTGCAGTTAATGCGGTTGTAAATCGACTCTATTACTTGAATAGCTCAGCCATATGTGAACCTACATATGAACGTCACTACTTATTAGTAACTACAGAAAAGTACTGGTTTGATTTCATAATAGAACGTTTTAATAATTGATTTATGTCTTGCTTTAATATAAAAATAATGCGTAATGTAATAAAATTATAATCTTCCAAAATTTCACTATATTTCAATAAATTCTACCCTGCATCACTACTTTTTATCCTCAAGAAGTTGTAAGAGGTGGTTCGACTAATGTTTAAAATATAAGTGTAAAAAAAATTAAGTTATAAATAAACATGACGATAAAAAAAATTCAATATATCTATACTTTCAAACTCAAAACAAAAAGGCAAAGAAAAAAGATTTAGATTAGCAAACACAAAATATACCTACCTAATTCGGCTTATGTTTTGGAGTGGCTTAGGTCAATGGCGGCGGAAGTCACGCTTCCCAATCGATGTAACGGCACATCCAACGGCTTTGGATAGTGTGAAATACAAACAAAACTACTGAACCTTCATTGTGGTATTGTAAATTCAAATAGTAAATACACAGCCAAATATAACAATATATTATTTCAAAATTATCCGTACGACATTACGTGAAACAAGATACATTCTATTTTTAAAATGACAAGCACAGAGGCTTCTTAATATTTTCTATATATGTCGGCTGTGATGACCAGCATTATATTTAAACATATAGTCAATACTGCTATTTAATTTAACACTATAAATCCTACTAAAGGTATTAAAATACCTAACTTGTTCAGTGATATAGCACTCCATTTACTGGTATCTGGGATATTATTAACTGTCATATCAGTAACCATAAAAATTTCGGTCTCGATAGAATTGTTTTCTTTACAATTCACCTCTATTTGTAATTAGCAACAATCATGCAGTCAGTCGCTGCTGGTCATATCATCATTTACTTTATCGTCTTGGTCTTAGCTGTCCTTATAACCATCGGTACATAGTACTTGTAGGTCTTTCTCTAATTTACATTGTTTTTAATAATTTTTCGTTGGAACAAAACGATAATTTATTTATTGTTATTACTCTTTAATATTAATAAAAATTGCACAACTGTCACATTCAACATACATTATACTCACTTGAACTTTAGCGCAATTTACAGAAGGTTAACCTTTCATAATTTGAACATTCTTTATATTATTATTTACATGTGCTATTATATCTGAATATCGTTGAATAATCAAAAAGCTAGAAATTATATATTTATTAGATGCGACAAGGCCAAAAATATTATAATATGGATTATGAAATATAATTTAGCATCTATTGTTCGTAGGGGCTAGGTTATACGGTTACTTAAGCTTTTCTAGTTCGAAACTATTATGTATGTTCATATCCAGGATTTATTTATCTAGTTGAGTATAAATATTTATTTTTGTAAACTTTTATAAGGAAATCAGAAAAAATTGTAATTTTTTCAATTTATATTGACAAACTTTTTCGTGGGCAATATATTTTTCTATTAAGATTGTAAACATACTCATCATATTAATTGGAATTACGAGTAGATAAACATTTTAATATTTATTCAATCAGCTTTTTTTATAGGAAAAGTCTACTTCTTTCATCACAAAATTTTACCACTATGAATTCGAAAATGTGGAACAATGCTTTAATAGCCAAATATACTGTATGTATAATTGTGTATATATAATTACGTTTTCACAGATTCGGTAAATAATATCACCTGAAACCTTCCGGTCGTTTACTTTATTTATTAACACTTAACACGAGATAAGATTGTCCGTGGCCTTGCTTGTCCGAAAATAATTATGGCCGTCTTTCAGCTATTGTTGTGACTAAATATTCATGATCCATGGAAATCGTTATCATTGTGTTAGATAATTGACGCGTCAAGTTACCTTGACAAACCATTCTTATGAAGCTCTAAGCTTTATTACAAACTGTAAACAAATACTGTGAGACTTGTGTTGATAATTTTCTTTTTGTTTCATTTTTTGACATTACATCGTCGCTATTGAAGTGTTTAGATATGCAAATCTGACATGCTATGGTTTTAAATATATCAGCAAGAGTGTTACTGGAATATTAAATAGTCTCTTGCAATAATCCACTTCAAAGGACTAATCTCCGATTAAATCTAAATTTGTATTAGCACAATCAATAACTTAAATACTTAGACACAGTATGACGCAGTACTTAGTAGTAGTTAATACAGTTTATGTTATGATTTTATAACCAACAACACGTGCCATGGAAATGTACTGTTCAAATAATTGTATTTGTGTCTTATGACTTGATCTTTCGTGACTAGAATTTAACTTGGCAAAAAGATGGATTTGTTAGAATCTGAAATAACTGTGATATGAATGTTAAACTAAAGTTGTCTTAGATGAATCTAGTTAAGTGTATTGTTTCATCATAACTTTGTATTTTAGAATAATACAAAATTAATTACATCCGTTTCTTATTATTCTCAAATCAGATACATCAGGGTTGAGTCATGAGCGCAATTGGTTTTTCTTGGCGTCACGTGTGCGTCGCTTGGCCGGCAGGAGAGCGATTGGGTGCTTTTTATCGTAGTTTTGTTTCGCTTCAGTCGGCAAGCGGGGTCATTAGCTACTACGTTTTGTTGTGCGTCCATTTTATTTGCATCGTTGCACATTACAAGCTCTTAATCCTTTAATTATTGCCCGTAATAACAACTATCTAATATATACATTTTACCAAACAATTAATTATTCATTTTAATTGCGTAGCCACAGCTTTACCGGACTATTCGACCTCCGTAGTCATAATCTATTGTGTTTGGTTTAAATTTTAAATATTTCAAAGTAATATTTGCCCAGTAAAATTTTTATTTAAAGTGGTTTATTACCACATTCCTGAGCTACTAAAGAGGTATGAAGTACGTTACATCACTACTTCTTTTTTAAATCCTAACTACTTTCTTAAATATGACTACCTATTGTATATCTGAGCGATAACTTCATTAAGCATGTATGTATTTCATTTCCTCTCATTGTAATCTTATCATACCTACGTATTTCAATATGCCTGTGGTAGCTTCGCTTGAAATCACATTGATCAAGAATCGATTAATCACGCATTAGTCTCGCCTGCTGTACGTTACTCGCTAGACATTTGAGAAGAATTACCTTATATAATTAATAAGGAAACGCCATGGTATTGTTTTGTCTTCTAAATACTGTTTATCATGTTGTGAATATGTTCGGAAAATATTCTCAGAATTTCTCGAATAACAAGACATTTTATGTAAAGAGCAATGAGTATTATTGAGTAAGTATTAAATGGCAAAGACTTTATTTGGTATACAAAATTAATTTACGCACAAGGTGATAAAAGCGGAGTTTATTTAAGTTATTGTTATGTTTGTTGCAGTAAGAAACAGGTTTCAGCTCAGCAAAAGCTTCTGCGATAAATAAAACGCTATTATTGTGTTAAACCTGTACGTGAAAGTATTTTGAAAGTTTTGTAAAAGAATATATTTAGTAATTGCGCCTTAAAAAAAATGTACGAAAAATTAAAATATTTAAAAAAGATAGAAAAGTGTATGATGTTATAATATTAAAGAATTAAAGGAACATTTCTTTTTTACAACAATCTTTTTTCTTATAATAATATTTTAATTAAATTCTATTTCATTATTTCGATTTTTTAAAATATATCATTAATAGTCACAGAAATAAGAATACTAGAATACATTAAATAAAATGCACAAAAAGAGAAAGCAATCGCATAAGTTAGTATTTAAAAATATGGCTATATCAAACTTAAGGACAAATTAACAATTTAATACCCGTTAAGAAATTTATGTGTATTTCTCCATCGTTTTGTGAAATATTATTTGTGAGGCCATTACGATTAAGATAATAAAAATTAAGTTGGAATTATTTTTATATTATCGAACAAGTAATTTATTTATTTTTATAGATTTATTAAAAAATCTCTACCAGGCACCTATGGCTTTTTAATCACTTACAATACCTTAACTTTTTATAGTTTCTAATTTAAACTTTTAAATTCGTAAAATGCGGTTGAATTCAACATAAGTATCTGCAAGCTACTATCATATTGTATTTATTTTTTATAATGTGAGAATATTATCCTAAAATTAAAAATTAAAAATTAAAAATAATTTATTTATCATTTAAATTTAATTATTACTGAGTTAAATTTAAATGGTACGCTAAATCCAAAACCAGTAATAGTATTAAAGAAATTGTACAATATTCTCTAAGAAACAAATTTATTTATAGTATATGAAAATATAATTTAAATGTAATTTGCAAGTACAATAAAAAATAAAGAAAACAATTTTGAAACCTTACAAAGGTTTATAAAACTGCACGGTCAAGTGTACTTCACCGTATAATTCAGCGTGGATTAGTCAAAATTTATTAGAGAAAATAAAGATATGTTTCGTTTAATATAATTTTTCCAATTAGGTAATCCTGTAGAATCCAGTAGTTCTATTAATAAACTATAATTACTTTAATGCAGAATTCCTTTACGTTTATGTGTAAATACGATTGTTGCAGTGTAAGTGCAAATTACTAATCTCCTGTGGTAGCTGCCAAGATGTCTTGGCAGCTATATATCTAACCACCTTATGGACATCTCCACTTAAAGGTTGTTCGAAATTATGTGGTTATGGTGGATTACGAGATTGTTGTACCAACCACTGTGTCATAAAGTAGACACTTGTAATATTCTTACATATTTTTGGATTGGATTTTGTACTTTCAAATTTTGGGTGTATTTTTAAGTTCATAAATTTTTATTAGCTTAAAAAATGCACTAAGTGCATTTTTTTTGACAAAATTAATTCATGTTTTATAAATTTGAGTTTTATATAATATTTAGGCAATGTAGTGTGTAAATACAAGATGGGTATGAGTTACATTTTTAATTTATACTTACTTGAAGTTTAAGTCCTGTGACGTCAGGAGTTACAAACAACCTAACCACTGACACAACTAAAAAAATAGTATTCCAAGTTTGATTTTTAAGATTGTGCGAGCGCTCTGACTGCCGGCAATGTATTGGTCGTGAATTGATAATGCCGATGCTTATATACGCCGCATTGACAGACAGTGCAAGTTCGCTGCGTATGACCATCTCCGCGATTCGGAGCTTTAGCGTTTCTGTAGCCCTGTTTTTCTATATATCCTATTAATATTATCAATGGGAAAGTCTATATGGATGGATGGATTGAAGGATGTTTGTCACACTTTTACACAAAAACTACTGAATGGATTGGAATTAAATTTGGTACACGTATATGTTATATTCTTACTAAGCATATAGGATAGATTATATAGTAATTCATGCGAGAGAAGCTACAGGATACTTCTAGTTCTAAAAAACAGAATGGTATTGCATTCTTTTAAAAGAGTGTTCTACCAATGAAATCGAAGACTTCACTTAAAGAAACATGCGTCGAAAAACGACAAAAATTTTTGGGCCTCCCATACCAGTATTATAAAAATAAATAGTCCTTATTTATATGCTAGTACCACAGAGTAAAATGATGTTAATACGATGCGTCCAATTGTTGCATTGCTTCCCTGCTATATTAGCAGGGAAGCTCTATACTTAATATTATTTCTTTCATATATTAATATCATGTTTCTTTGAGGACATTGTTTGGTAGTTCACTACTAGATTGCTCCTATGTATAAAAGGACATCAATGATTTGTTTTTCACTATGTATATAATTTTTTTTTCATTTTATGTTATGGCAGTGTCTAATTTATTAATTCACAGTTAATGACTTGAAAAAGGAGATTGGTAAAGTGTGTTGATATTGCTACGTCATAAATATAATTGTAACACGTTTTGACTTATTTTTTTTGGGAAGTGGTAACCGTCACTTATAGACATGAGCAGTACCATAGACATACGTGTAACAGAGTCTACTGTTTTGTCCATAGAACTCCCAATGCGTTGCTATTCCTGAGGACTCAGAAGTTATTCTTCTGAAACAAGGCGGACCTAGTGCCTGATGTCATTTTCTATCAGTTAACCATTACGCTAAACAAAGAGAGTAAATGACAGTACATTCATTTGACACAAACAATTTATAAATTAAATAAATATTTTTTACAAAAATTATACATAAATTACATAAAATGCAATAGGTACATATATAAATAAATATACATATTAATATAATAAATATATAAGCCATGGCTAATTATATAATAATATATGGTAGATTGAAGCTCTTCATTGTTGTATTAATTTGAAGTAATTGTAGGAACTTTTTGAAGGAAAATTTGATTAGGGACTTTTTAATATCAATAGGCGGTGCATTCCAAAGGTTAATGGTTGAGATGGTAAAAGATTAAAAGGTGAAGTTTGATAAATAAGTATCTAGATATACGAGTATAGTGCTAACATTCTTGCTGACAAGTATATAAGCGATATTTAATTAACATTAATACTTTTTTCAATCATCGATTTAATAAAAATTCTCTATACACATCAAATTAAATAATATTAAAATGTCGAAATAATAATCAAAATAAGTTGATTACTTACTACTTTTAACTTAACCTTGGCCATTACCATATTTAATGTGAAAGTAACATAACTTTAGAGATTCCAGCCTTTTATCATTCTAAGTAATGTTGCATATTATCACTTGGCCCATGTTAGACTATAAAAACCCACCCATCGCTCGGGCCCGACACCAAGCACACCATAAATTAGGGACCTTTAATTTTACATTAAGTTTATTAATGTGGTAGTTATTACAAAATCTCGAGATACTGATGTTTATAATGAATTTTATTTAAGTAATAAAACAGCGATGTCTGACGACCGTTTGTCAACATTATTAGAATTACGACGGTTAATTTTTATAGCACTTTTGCATCATAAAACCTGAAGTTGAATATACAGTGTGAATATAGTTGATAGAATATTTTTTAAAACGATGTAGATTGATATATATACTGATAATCCATCTGATAAACAGTATGCCTGATGTCTGATCGAATGTCTGGCTACTACTTATAAATGGTGCCATAGGAATTACAGGATATAAATATTGTGACACTCATGGCTGATCCTTCATGTGTTTGTATTCTTGAAGATAAATGCTTCCTAACCAGCAATTTCATTGTCAAATCTCATCATACAAACTATTATCATCATCATCATCATTTCAGCTATTAACTGTCCACTGTTGAACATAGGCCTCCCCCATAGACTACCATAAAGAACGGTCCTGAGTCACCTGCATACACTGACTCCCTGCAATGCATTTGAGCTCGTCACTTCATCTAGTGGAGGGTTGTCCTACACTGCGTTTGCCCGTACGTGGTTGCCACTCAAGAACCTTTCTTCTCCAACGGTTGTCGGTTCTTCGAGCTATGTGACTAGCCCACTGCCTCTTCAGTTTGTTCATCCTTTGGGCTATATCGGTGGCTTTGGTTCTGTTGCGGATCTCCTCATTTCAGAGGACAAATCGTTATAACAAAGTGCAATATATGAATACAAATATATACAAAATATGAAAGTAGAAAAATCCAGATACTTGGAAAGATTTGGAACAATACATCTGTCATTATTTGTTAGACTATTCTCCTCAGACGATCCTACGTCCTGGCAGGAGCCATGACCCTACAAAATTGGCATATACTCGTATAACTAAGAGATATGCAGAGGTAACTGCAAAATGCTTCTGTCTAATTCTATCGTAATTCGTTCTATGCATGTCAAAATACCCACACTATACATATAGTATAAGAAATAAAAAAGGCTTTTTACATGTACTTATGTATTACACACACATATACATATATATATCTAATTAGGTGTATAGGCATATAGGCGAATAATGATAAGATTGATATGTGTAAAGTAAAAAAGTAGAGATAAAATGTATTGAAAAAAACTTGATTAAAATATCTTCCTACAATCAACAAAAAATATTTACCTACGCAATGCAATTTGTAATTTGTAGGTTTGAATTACGAAAATAATACGCAATGTATTAAAAACACAAGAAATATTCTATTATAATGATTACATTATCGTAGATATGTATTGCAGTCATAAAAATCGCCAATGGCATTGTTCAATAATATACCTTGTTATTGCACACTTCAATTATTATGATAAATCTCTTTTACGTTACGCCTACGTAGAATCAGTTTTGTCCTGAAATGATACAAAATTAACGTTTTCCTGACATTTTACGATTGTCATTTTAACATTTATTGTTGTTAATTTTGATGCACCGTTAACGAAGAATTAGGTAGATTTATTATACTAATCAGCATTTGTCATTCGAAATGTTAAGTTTATTTTTATCACAATGGAATAATTCCTTACTTTTGTTTCTATGCGATCTATGGAGGAAATAGAGCATATTTTTATGAATAATATTTTTATGAATCTTTCTTATCTTTTTTATAGAATGATTATATCTACTGTAGATTAAAGATAGATCTACCTGCAGATGTGTACTTTTTTCAGCAAAATTAGCAACGAAGCAGCATATGAAAAAATCTACGTATCGGACAAAAATACTGTTTGAACTGCTAGCAATATCGTGTTGCCTTTTTGTTCTAAATTGGTGCATCGCAGTTGATTTGTTTTCATTTTTGTTTCTTAATTTAGAGTGACCAACAAGCGGATAGAAAGTGATAATCTTCCTCTATAATCATGAATATAATTATATAATACAGTGCCGATCCTTTACTCCTATTGTCATTCCTTAGGTTTAAGGTTTCATTCGTTTTTCAATACAATATGTGGGGTATGACCTTTAAAACCACAAGTATTGATTTCTTACCTATAACTTATGGCAAATGCAACCTGGTATAATTTTTCTACATTAGCACTGATTAGTTTTAAAATCCTTTAAACAGTAGTATTTATTGCACAAATGTCCTCATTTTCATTGCACTCATTAGACGAGCCGTGGAAAATAGTGGCCTCACTTTTGGTCATTTGTCTGGCACATCTTCCGTATTGTCCGTGAGTTAGATGCATGATTTATTGTATTTCATTAGAACAACGATCTCTATGTGTTTGCTCTTACGAACCATATTACAATGCACTTGAATAAATTTTAAAGAATTCACTGCTAGCTACTAATTCCACTAAAATTGTAAACAAGCTAATGTATGCCTTCATCTACACGGTTTGCAAATTGTTCCCGGATACGCAGTGCCTTTTAAATAAATATGTTCTATGCTTAAGTGTAAGTTAAGGTTAAAATAGAATCTACATCACATACAGAGAGATTTTTTTTTCCAGTAAAATATTTTGAATCAATCTTTCTTTCTCTTTAATATAAATTTTAGCGTAAGAATTTTAGCGGATTGGTGAACATAGTTTCCAAAAAGTTATATTGCTCACAAATACACTTATAGTTATAACTAATATTTTTTCTACTGTTACCGGTATGTTTATTTGTCAACAGCAACTGCTGATCGAGATGCAATTACGTCAATGTTTGTTGTAGATTGGTTATTAAGTGTTTTATGAGGAAAATATCTTTTACAGAGGACTTAGTGACGGTACCGAGATCCAAGCCATTAATATAAATGTAAATCTTTGTATTATAAATTATCCAAGTTTAAAATAAATGCATTATAGTTAGGTATTTTAATAGAACTGAAGCTTTAACTGAACATGTTATCACATAACAAGAATTACATTAGCTTATATTTAAATCTATTGTATTTTTTGTATTATGTACATATATTTCCAGATATTTACTTGATTTGTGCAAAAAATATTAAGTAGCTAAGCATCTACCATCTTGAAGTAGAGTTTAAAGTAGGGGAGTGGACAGAAATTAATGAATCAGACATCAAATAAACGACTAAGCAACTAGTCAACTACGATGCCGTCCAGACGGGTCGTTAGCCCTGTTAATCTTATCGTGCTTTAAATCGATGATGGTTACGCTTATAAACTTAACCACCCTATAAATTAGCTTGCAATTTGCATGCATCCCATAACGTTCGTGTACGATTCATTTATTCAAACCTATATGGACATTGCCATTCAAATTACGTCAATGGTCCATCATACGTAATTATTTTATGTGCCTGT